GTTTGGGTTGGGAGGGTATTAACTTAATTTTCTTTCCGTTGTGTTCGAACACGCAGGTGTTCGATCTCCCATAGATATGAACGTCATTGTCAAATAACCATGGGCGACCCAGGATAATTTGACCTACGTCCATGGCCAAAACATCACACCAAATCTTGTCTTGATATCCCACGAACTCTATGGGAATGAGGCTACGGTCCTTAATTTCTATGGTAGTCGAGTTGATCCAAGCAACCTTATACGGATTCGGGTGAGGGGTCATCTTGAGGTTGAGCTTGGAAACCATAGCAGAAGAGACTGCATTAATACAACTTCCACTATCGACGATAACCTTGCAGTTCTTTTCTCCAATCTTAACAAAGGTATGAAAAATGGAAGTCCTACGCCAATCATCGTTTAACTTGGGTTGTGACAAAGCGCATCTAACAACCTGAAGGGTAACGGGTTCTTCTTCCGTAAAGGAGTCTTCCTCTTCATCAACATGATGAACTATGTCAGTCTCAGGTTCGTCCTCTTCGTCATCAACCTCTTCTATAATGGTGACCTTATATGGGCTGGAATATTGTGACGCAATGTGCCCATACCCATGACACCTATAACATTTGGTTCCTGAGTTGGCTTTGGGCGCGTCGCATTCGGGGGCTTTACCTTTAGAGTCTGGGCGAGGTGGGGCCGAACTAGCAGTGGGTCGACTACCTATCGAGTTCGTGGATCGATTTTGGGTATGGCTAGTGGAAGTTCGATAGGGGTTAAGTCGGGCATCAAACTGCCTAGTGTGGGAGTGGGTCTTGGACTCTTCTAGGTCAAGTACCAGGCTGCACGCGCCCTCTAAGGTGTCTACTCCTCTAGCGGAAAGTTCAGTCCTAAGATATTCCCTAAGGCCAGCTCTAAACATAGACAGGATTTGTGTTGGGGTAGCAAATTCCTCGCCGTTGCAACGAATCAGGAAATCGTCAAAGGCGGAGATGTAATCTTTAACAGGCTTGCTCCCCTGGGTTAGCCTATTCCACTTATCCAGAAGCTTAGGGTAGTAGGACGGTGGTAAGTATTTCCTCCTAAGTTCATGTTTCATAGTCATCCAATCGTTTATCGGATGTTCTCCTCGAGATTCACGCATGTTCTCCAAGTTGGTCCAGTAAAGGTTGGCTCGACCCGTGAGTTTCATTTCAGCGAATCTGACTTTCTTTGCTTCAGAGATGTTGTACCATTTAAAGTAGCTATCCATCGACTTGAGCCAATCTAGGAAAACTTGAGGGTCAAGGGTCCCGTCGTACGTTGGGGCGTCAATCCTAATGTTTTTCGGTAATTGAGCGTCGTTGTCTCTCCAAGTGTTGTCGTCCCCTATTGGCTCTTGATGTGGCCTTGGGTTGCGTTGTTAATGGTCTTGAAAACGTCCGGGATCTCGCGGGTGTTCATGATCGGGTCGGTTGTCCTCGCCATAAGGTGAGTGAGGTCTCGATGGAGTATAGATCACTGGATTCCCGTTACGCTCGATATTATCTAATCGGTCACTCGTGTGGCGCCTAAAGTCAGCTAATCGGTTTGTGTGTTGCGGATTTGCTGAGTAACAGTGCCCAATTGGCCCAAAATGAGGTCCAGGGTAGCTTAGAGATGCTGCGGATCCATGGGGAATGTTTAGGGGTTGCTCGGGGAAGTGTTGGGTAGGTGGGCAGCAATTATAAGCTAAGGGAGGAGGTTTCTAAAGCTCCTAACTGCTGCAGGAAAACAAAGGACAGCAAACTAACACAAGGTGGGAAGTTGCCTAGCAGGTTAAGGGTTACCGCAAAGAGTGGACAGCAAATAGGACCTAAGTTAGAGACTCCCAACGCCCTAAAAACACTGCAGGAAATGCACGGACAGCAAGGTTAAATCAAAGCTAAGTTGCCCTAAACACTTAAGAGTCTTCCAAACAAAAGGCCAACACTAAAATGCGAGCTAAAATGACCTATCACAGCTAGACGATTGCAGGAAATGCGAAAACAGTAACAAAAACAGTGAAAATTTCCAATTAACGAACTAGCATGCATGTAAATTTCAACCTACAACAAGAAGCTAGACCCTAGGAGGTTTTTCTAACATGTCAAGCATGGTAACCATGCTCTGATACCACAAATGATGTGAATCAATCATGCGATGAGTTGCGAATTGCACATAGAAAATTAATAGAAGTATTGATTCAAAACTGGCTACCAAAACTCTTTGCTTAATCAAGTTGAGTTCACGAATTAGATGACGATAAATTAAGTAATGACAAGAAATCACTCTCAAGGAAAACTCCAACTTATATGGAGGGAGACAACAGGATGTGGGATGTTGCTGGAGATGGATTTGAATCTCTTGAGGATATGGGAATATTAGAAATTGCTAATCTTTCACTTGATGAGCCTGAATTGGAAGCTATGATATTTATTGAAGATGATATAGAAATTCAAAGACAAACCACTGAAGAAGCTAATCCTTTCATTCCTTCTATTGAATAGTTGAAACAGTTTCAATGAAACTTCATGCGCTGGACAATTTATATTTTTATTTTTTTATTGTATTAGACGTTTAAATATTTAATGCTTACTTTTATTTTGATATTATAAGATACAATGTATTAATAATGTTATTTTCAATTTTTTTGTCGTTTCAATTATTACACTTTGATTATTTTCTTAATTTTTATGTGTGATTTATATATTATAATATCGCATCGGCGCCGTATCCGTATCCTGTATTTTTAAGAATTAACGTGTCCCGTATCCGCATCGTGTCGTATCCGTGTCGTCGTATCCGTATTGGTGCAACATAGGATTGAGCATGTACATCTATGAGCTCCTACTTGTTACATAAACTAGAAAAAAAGGGGTTTTCTAAAACTTTGTAAAGATATATATGCCACTTTGAACTAGAAATATCTTGCTTTGAAAACACAATAGCTCATGCGGAAGACAACCCCTTCAATGTGTTTAGTTCATTCATGAAATATGGGATTGTTGACAAGATGGATGGTGGATATAAAGTCATAGATTGAGTAATATGAAAACTAAACCACCCTTAAAATTATAACACACCATTTCACAGCAAAATGAGTTATAGCTTTGTATTTAGCTTTGCAACTCAATCTAATAACCACAGTCTATTTCTTGATTATCCATGTGAAAAGCTTCCTCTAATGAAGATGTGATATCCTAAGATTGACTTCTTGTCTTCAAAAGAGATGGCATAATCGACATCAGATAATATTTGCAAGTTCATATGTTTTGATGTAGTAAGATAACAAAATTTTTCATATGGAACATTATAAATATATATGATGATTCATATAACAGCTTTCTAATGGTTCTTCTGTTGATTTTGCATTTGTTGGCCTGCCACTACCTGCCACTCTAGCAACAAATGAAATGTTAGGTTAGATAACAGTTACATAAATCAATTAACCTAGTAACCTTCATTATTGAGATGAATTATGAAGAGACTCGTCATCATCATCAATGTTTGAGGCTCTGTAGGTCTATCAACAGACTTACAACCAAAGAAACCATTTCTTCTAGGTTGGTAGCATATTTCCTTTGTTAAAGAAATATTTCGTTAAGGAATATACAAATTCAACTTCAACTACAGGGATCATCCCAAATCTTCTGTAGCAAAGCACCTTTGCAAAAAGTATTTTACCTCCAAAGATTAATGATACTAAGACTTTCACAGTTTGTCAAACAATGCTAATGGACTCTATTTAAGGCCAAACATAGCTTTATTCAACAGAAAAATATAGTTTTCACCATAAGCAGCACACCTGAAAAGTTGCTTGAAATAGCTGGGTGCAATTCATCATAAAAGAAGGCATTAATAGCATCCATTTATAACTTATCCCAGCATTGATTGGCGGCCATAGATAAAGGGATTCGAACGGAGTTCACCCATGCAATTGGGGAAAATGTGTCAAAATAGCTGACTACACAGATCTGGGTTAACCATTTTGAAATCAACTGAGAATGTGACAAAATAGCTGACCGCAGGGACCTGGGTGAACCATTTTGAAATCAATGAAGCTTTATCGCAATCAATTAATCTATCAAAATGAAATTTTATAATGAACACCCCGTGACAAGAAATTGGTTTGAACCTTAAAAGGGAGTGCAGCTAGAACCTAGGTAAGATGATTGAAAAGAGTTTCCATTTTAAAATCCAGAATATTTTATCATAAAATATGTTGTAGCATACCTTGATATATCCTGGAAATATATATATATATATATATATAGGTTTCTGGTAAAAATGTCATGTTTAAGCACATGCAACGCGAAATCAATAATTTTATTAACTTCTCATGTGCAATTCTTATTTCATCGCATGATTGATTCACATCAGCTATCATGGATAGAGGTGATGATAATGACAGCATATCTATGAAGGCATGAAGGTAGCAAAAGGATGTTACAGAGAAAGAGTAACATGTGGCGAGGAGAGATCAAGAGCAAAGCAGGAATAAAAGGAGATAGTCTCATGAAGGATGACATCGACAAAAATATGTAGTTGTTGTGTAAATGGATCATCACACTGATAACTTTTCTAAGTATGATAATATCCAAAGAAGATGCACCGAATAATGCAGATGGAGAGTTTGATTAGCGAGTAAAATGTATAAACAAAGCAGCTACATCCAAAGATCCAGAATAAGGGAAAAATAGCATGACCTAGATAAAGAGTGGACTGTGGAGATGAGAGAGGTGTAATCTATAAGTTGATAAAGAGATCATTTGACTAGATAACACTCAATAAGTAAGTTGCAATAATAACCCTCATCTTTATTGGTATATATTTGAGAATAAAAGCATCCAAAAGTTTCTAAATTGTATTAAATACATAAGACTAGCCTACAAATATGGAGATCATGCCCGTTTTATGCTTCATTCTTTTATAGCTCAAGTGTGATAATCACAAATGGTAAATCCCAAGATCGTTGATAAAACTTAACCGAGATGGCATTATAAAGAAAAACTAAATAATGGTCCAACCTGCTCAACCAAATCTTTAATATCTTTACCCTCTTTATTGCTTTTCGCAGCGCCCAACTCCACACCAGATACCCTTTCAGCAAACATTAAGGTACTTAGTGTCTCTGAGCATGATTCTACATCCGGATTGACTTGCACAAACATGAGGGTCTTTGCTTGTCCACCTGCATAGGGAGTAAGAAATTACTAAGAAAATATGGTTGAGTAGAACAATCGTGGATCTTGGAGAAAACAAAAGACTACTTTTTCTTTATAATTCTTATCATAATAAGAAATTATGTTCAACACGTGAAAAGAATGACAAGAAGGAATTCCTTTTAATAGCAATTCATTAAGAAATTCCTATGAGGAACTAAAAATACTAGGAAAATCAACAAAGCCCTATAGTAAGAACAAATAAAGCAAAAGTACCTAGTGAACTCTGAAGAACTTGAGTAAGTTTACTGTTTCTGTATGGAACATGAGCGCTCTTCTGAGACAGTGCAAATATGACATCACCAAGTGCAGAAAGAGACTTGTTGATGTGTTGTGCTTCTTTAAGTCTATCTCCTGTTGCTTTAGAGCGGTCAACTCTCTCACTTCCAGCCAGATCTATTAAATGTAGACATCCCCTTGAAGTTGAACCAGTCTTCAAATCTACACCTCGTACATGAACAGTGAGAATGCTGCAAAATGTGAAAATCAGCACAAGTCATAAGTTCAAAAGGAATTTATCAGCCTGAAAAGAAGAAGAAGAGACCTGTGGGATCGACTACTTCTTTCATTTAAAGCAGTTGAACCAACAGCCCTATTTGTTTGCCCAAATTGCATCAACTCCAAGACATTTGAGGTTGATTTAACTATAAACATGCTTGCGTCAGGGACAACTAAACCATGAGGCTGTGAAATACTCCAAATCCCAAGTGTGCGCAAGTTAAGGAAGCGATTCACTTTAATCAGATGATAACCCAGCTCAAAAGATCAAACATTCCGGCATCACAATCATGGCATATTGAAGATCTCCATATGAATAACATGAAATTTATTAGTGTAACATAGGACGTATTAAGATATGGGATTCACTAATGCAAACCTAGGATGAGATAAAAAAACCACATAAAATCAACCTAAGCAAATATGAATCACTTTTGATGAAAAACAGAACAAAAATTATGCATTCTGAACGAATGTAGAAGTCACAAAAATTTGAAATTCTATAAGAAATTTAAGAAATAGTACAAATTATGCCGGAAATAAAATTCTAAGTACAAAAATAAAAATCAATAAATCAAACTTTTAAAAAAAAATCTCAATCACGAATACAAAATTACAAACCAATCAGAAAAACAAGTAAAGATACAAAGGAAAAATTACAAATTCCGAACTTCCTATTTATAATAAAAATATCCGAAAATAGTTATTTCTCAAAATACACCAAGATCTAGTCTAATACTGTATGTTTCAACTCAACAAACTTGGATTCTAACAAAATAGCTAGTTTAGTCTCCATTTCAGCCAAAACAATAATTCCAACATTTAGAATTACTTTCCAGCACTGTCCAATTTTCTAGCTGCAGTGGAATGCCGAGAAAAGAAGGAGACCAGTAACAGGGTGCCTAAAAAGGAAACATGTGCAGATGGAAGGAATCCAAAAAAAGGGAAAAACTGAAGAAAAACTTATAAATCGAACATGCTACAATCCGTTAAAAGAAAAGGCCATAGAAGGCAAGGAAGACCATACACGGAAACAAGTGAAAATTCTGTAGGATGAACTCATAAACAACCATAATGTAATGTCGCACGAGAGTCAAAAAAAAGTCTGAACACTCCTGTATTCTCAGAAAGAAAGCTTTCATTGATGTAAACTTCATAGCTATAACACTTGTATAGGAAAGATGGCAGATAGAAGTTGTTAAACCAAACTATAGCCACTAGAAAGAAGCAACCGCTGAAGAAAATCTCATAAGGAAATATCAAAAAGAAGCAGAACAATAACAAAATGTGACTTAATACTTGCATTATTCTAGCTGATTTTAAAAAAATTTGATTTTGTGAATTAAGTATTTGATATTTTATCATGCAACTCTAAGCATAACAATTGTGCTTCCAATAAGGCCACAATCAATTATAACAAATAAGTTTGTCATCCCAAAACACAAGAAATCTCTAATATGTACCATAACTAGTGGGCACAATCCATATATATATATATATATATATCAGGTAACTACTAGAAAAAGATAAGTAGGACTCTGATACCAAGATGATGTGAAATGTACATGCGATGGAGTTACTTTAAGAAATTAACGAGAGCAATTTAAACAAATAACCCCAAAGTAAAATTATCATTTATAGCAAAAGATTGATCTTTGGAATTTGTGGTCTTTAACTTGGTTAGGCAAAGTAGAGCAAGATCAATCAACCAAACAATTCAAGAAACACAAAGATAATTGTAAAACTACGATGGTAACAAGAGTCCACGATTTAATAATGAATACTTTCACCTTTGGGGTCCATACGCTCGACTTGTTTAGGCTTTTGCGGAAGAAGAGTCTCCACATTAGAAACGAGGTCACTCCGAGGAAGAAGGAGCCTAAGATCGTCGTTCTAGGAAAGGTGGCCGGAGAGGTGGAGGATGGCGGTCGTCCAAGGATGATCCAACTGGCGGGACAGCAGGAAAAGATGCAGAATTTCTCTTGACAGCAGCAGTTTGGTCTTGGACAGATCTTGGACAGCAATCTTTCAGGTGCAAGAAATGTTGGAGTGTTCCTCTCGGCTGCTAGGAACGTGGGACAGCAAAGTGGTCTACTGAGAACAGCAATTATAAGGCTTCCCGTTGCTGTGGATGCAATGGCAGTTGCTGTGGATGCAATGGCAAAGGCTGGACTTTCTGGCTGCAGATTTAAGAGGTAAGAAACTCCATGTTTTAAGGAGTTTGGGAAGGATTAGGTGGAGGGAGGAGGGTCACGGGCTGGAGAAGGGCCAGGTACGGGTGAAGCTATAGGAGAAATAAACAAAATCTGAATTTTAATTCATATTCTTTAAGTGTAGATAATTTATTGTCAGTTTCAGAAATTTGAAATTGAAATTAAGTTAGGAGGGAAGGGATTAAAGGTGATTAAAAGAGAATTAAATGGGGAGAGAGGGGAGGGAGGACCGGCCATGTAGAGAGGGGAGATGTTTGAGACTTAAGAAGGTGGGGACCACTAGTAATTAATCAAAATCTGATTTTTAATTTCAGATTTTAATTGTCTCATGTAACTCCCTTAATTAATTCCCCAAATTAATTGGCTCAATTAGTAAGGAGAATTCAAATTTCAAATAGCTCCTATTGTCATTAAATGCCTTGCCTTAAGATGGATTTTAATTAGGCAATTAATTGAAACGCCTGGAATTGAATTTCACGGCTTGGGGCAGAGCTTGGATTGACCGGCTGCAAGAGAACTGCAGGGAGACGGTGATCTGGGGAAGAAAAGCTCACGGCTGGACAAAACATGGAATTCCAGCGGCAAGGGAACGGCAAGAAGGTGGGCTGGAGGCTCACGGATGGCTGTTTAATCGTGAGATTGGGAGCCGTAAGGGGGGGGGGTGGCTGCACGGGACGGGATGGGCTGTGGCCGGTGGGATGAAGTCACGGGCTGGCTGAAAGGGAGTTGATCGGCAGCTGGTAGGCCTGTGGCTGGCGGCTGGACTGCAGAGTGGAAAGGTTGTGGGGAGGAAATTTCAAAGAGAATATAATCTGGATGAAATTCCTTTGAGTTCTCACACTACTTGATCACAAAACAAGATAGAAGAATGTCTAGAACTCACAAAGAGATCTAGCTCTTCTCAAAACTCACTAAGAAATTTGAGAGAGAGGAGGGTGAACTCACAAAGAGATCATAAGTGGAAAATATTTTTTTCATTCATCAAAAACTGAATGCATGAGGCCTCCTATAAATAGGCCAAAATGAGAAAATAAGAAATGACA